ACATGCATGGACTGTAAGGTGATACCTGGAGAATGTGTGGTCGCTCAACACAAGCTGGTGGTGGCTGACTTTCGCTTTCTGGTGCAAGCTTGTGGGAACAAATAAGCTAGGGTTGCTAGAACGAAGTGGTGGAAATTCGAAGGGGAGGCATCAAAGGTCTTTAAGGAAAATGTCATTGAAGAGTGCCCTTGGAATGATAAAGGTGATACAAACAGCATGTGGAAGAAGATGACAACATGCGTTTGGAAGGATGCTTCAGAGGTGTTTGGAGTGACTAAATGGAACGAATGCGACTCGAAAGACACTTGGTGGTGAAATGAAGATGTGCAAAAGGCTATTAAGGAAAAGGAGTGCTATAAGCGCTTGTATCATGACAGGTGTGCAAACAACATAGAGAAGTAAGGTGGTAAAGAAGACTGCAAAACAAGCGATGACTGGGGCAAATGGGCAAGCCTACGAGGACGTTTGGGTACGAAGAAATGAGAGAAGGACATTTATAGGATGGCTAGGGCTCGCGATAGGAAGACAAAGGACTTCAACCAAGTCAAGTGCATAAAGGATGAGAGGGAGCAGCTCTTGATGAAGGAGGATGAGATCAGACATAGATGACAAGAGTATTTTGATAAATTGTTCAATGGTGAGAACGAGAACACCACAGTTCAGCTGGACAACTCGTTTAATGACACTAACAAGCGCTTCGTGCGGAAGATTCAAGAATCGGAGGTCAGAAAAGCCTTGAAAAGGATGAAAGGGGGCAAAGCGATGGGCCCTGATGGTATCACAATCAAGGTGTGGAGATGTCTCAGGGATATAGCTATAGTATAGCTAACCAAGATGTCCAACAATATCTTTCGATCGAACAAGATGCCTGAGGAGTGAAGAAGAAACATATTGGTACCAATCTACAAGAACAAAGGAGATATCCAAAGTTGTACTAATTATCGAGGAATTAAGTTGATGAGCCACACTATGAAGTTATGGGAGAGTCATCGAGCAGCGCCTGCGAGGAACGACGTAGATATCAACAAACCAATTTGGTTTCATGCCTGAAAGGTCAACCACAGAAGCAATCTTCTTAATAAGATAGGTTATGGAGCGGTTTAGAGAGCAGAAGAAGGACCTCCACTTGGTTTTCATTCACTTGGAGAAGGCTTATGACAGGATACCAAGAAATGTTATGTGGTGGTCTTTGAACAAAGATAAAGTCCCATCAAAGTACGTGACCCTCATCAAGGACATGTACAACAATGTTGTGACTAGTGTTCGAACAAACGATGGAACACAGATTACTTCCCGATTAAAATTGGACGTGTTCGAACAAGTGATGGAGACACGGATGACTTCCCAATTAGGATAGGACTACATCAAGAGTCAGCTTTGAGCCCTTATCTGTTTGCCTTCCTGATGGATGAGGTCATAAGGAACATACAAAGGGACATCCCTTGGTGTATGCTTTTCGCGGACGATGTAGTGCTAGTTGATGAAAGCCGGACAGGAGTGAATCAGAAACTGGAGTTATGGCGAGAGACTTTGGTGTCCAAAGGTTTTAGACTCAGTAGAACTAAAACTGAGTATATGAGATGTGATTTCGGCACTACTATTCGGGAGGAGGAAGATATTAGTTTGGAAGGTCAAGTAGTGCCTAGGAAGGATAACTTTCGATATTTAGGATCAATACTACAGAGAGACGGGGATATTGATGAAGATGTTAGCCATACAATCAAAATAGGGTGGATGAAGTGGTGCCAAGCATCTGGTGTCCTATGTCACAAAAGGGTACCACAAAAGCTAAAAGGCAAGTTTTATAGGACAGCGATTAGGCCTGCTATGTTGTATGGTGCAGAATGTTGACCTACGAAAAGACGACGTGTTCAACAGATAAGTGTCACGGAAATACGTATGTTGCGTTGGATTTGCGGTCATATAAGAAGGGATCGAGTTCGGAACGATGATATACGTGATAGATTAGGGGTAGCACCAATTGAAGAAAAGCTTGTCCAACACCGGTTGAGATGGTTTGGACATGTCCAACGGAGACCTCCAGAGACACCGATGCGTAGTGGAATCCTAAGCCAAGATAGTAACGTGAAGAGAGGCAGAGGAAGACCGAAGTTGACTTGGGTAGAGACAATAAAAGAAGACTTGAAAAGATGAAATATACCCAAAGACTTAGCCTTAGATAGGAGTGCTTGAAAACCAGCTATTCACGTGCCTGAACCTTGATGGCTTCTGCTAGGTTTCAACTCTAGCCTACCCCAACTTGTTTGGGACTTAAAGGCTTTGTTGTTGTTGTTGTTCATCAAGGGTCAGCCTTAAGTCCGTATCTCTTTGCCTTGGTAATGGATGAGGTTATCAGGAACATACAAGGGGATATCCCTTGGTGTATGTTGTTCGCTGATGATGTAGTGTTAGTGGACGAAAGCCGGACAGGAGTAAATAAGAAACTAGAGTTATGGCGGTAGACCATTGAGTCGAAAGGTTTTAGATTGAGCAGAACTAAAACTGAATACATGAGATGCGACTTTGACGAAGTTGTATAGGAGGAAGGAGATGTGAGTTTGGAAGGTCAAGTAGTGTCTAAGAAGGATACCTTTCGGTATCTAGGATCGATGCTATAGAGGGATGGAGATATTGATGCGGACGTTAGTCATAGAATCAAAATAGGGTGGATCAAGTGACGACAAGCTTCTGACATTCTCTATAACAAGAGGGTACCACAAAAGCTAAAAGGCAAGTTCTATAGAACGGCTATGTTGTATGGAGCAGAATGTTGGCCTACAAAGATTCGACATGTTCAACAACTGAGTGTTGTAGAAATACGTATGTTGCGATGAATTTGCGGTCACACAAGAATGGACCGAGTTCGGAACGATGATATACGTAATCGTCTAGAGGTAGCACCAATTGAAACAAAGCTTGTCCAACATCGGTTGACGTTGTTTGGCCATATCCAAAGGAGACCTCCAGAGGCACCAGTGCATTGTGGAGTCCTAAGCCAAGCTAATAATATGAGGAGAGATAGAGGAAGACCGAAATTGACATGGGAGGAGACAATAAAAAGATATTTGAAAGCTTGGAATATACCTAGAGAGAGTACTTTGAAAGTAGCTATTGAAGTGACTGAACCGTGACTTGGGGCTCTTGGTGTGTTTCCACTCTAGACTACCCCAACTTGTTTGGGACTGAAAGACTATGTTGTTGTTATTGTTGTTGTTGTTGAATATATTTTTTTCTTTTACACCCACTTGTTCGTTCAGATAGCGACATATGAAGGGCAGCAGAAGAATCTGGCCTGAGATTTTTTTCTTTTTTAAAAAAGTACAGGTAACTGTTGGCAATATGAAAAAATCACATAAAAATGGTGGGTACAGAAAAACCATCAAATTTTCAATGCTCCTTCGTTGCATGGATAATGTTGATGAGATCAAATAGATTGCAAAGCAGTACGTGCAGATAGACATCAAAGTATATTCATATTTGACATTCATACATTGACCCCAACCTTGCACTCGAATGGTGCATTTTTCTTGAAAACAAAAAAAAGGACAGCAACAAGCCAAAAGTACATGTTGATCTTATGTCTCTACATCTGAAAAAAAGGAGTGGACTCCTGTGCCCCAGTGCCCTATGTTATTCTGCGAAAAGGGTATGTACAGTATTTGGTTCAGTTCCGGCTAAATAAGTAAACCTGGTGTGGATTTTCAGGATGTAATGACAACTGATATCATGGTGATTAAGGATGAACCACAGTATGAGAAAAATCTATCACTAACGCAACATGAAGAACTGCTCCAAAGAGGTATAATATGTAAGGCTAACTAGTATTCAGTGTTCCTTGTGTAAATTTTTCAAGTATTATAGCCTTCTAGAGAATTCTAGAGAACTTTAGCACACACAAATCATGGCATTAGTGGATCTTGATATAGCCAGAAAACGCTATCACAGACATAGTGATAAGCCACAACATGAGGAATTGCAAAAACAGTAAGAAACCTTTTCCAGAACTTCAACAGTCACAAACCATAGTAGTCTTAAAATGTCAGATAAATTTGGATATGTGTTGTTGCTCTTGTAGATGTAATTCAGGCCCTTATCACTAGCATTTGGCATTTACCTAGACTCTTAGTGATGAAAATTTATAGGATTGATCAGTCAGGGATTTCACTGCCATTTTTGCAACATTAGTCAAGTTCAGAGGTTGGGCAATCAGTGCATGTTACTTGAGAGAAATAGCATTTCTGATCTGAGCTATATCTTAAGTTGCATTTTTTTTTCTGTTTCCAAATATACGACTAGTAGCAACCAAAAGTGCACGAGCTGGAGAGTTGAATGCACTACAATAATTCAAACTCACATTAAGCAATCAAATGCTAGAAAGAAAGATATTTATCATTTAGTTTTTAAGCACCTAGACACCTAGCCATTACAGGTTCATTCCTCAAGAAAAGCCTTCTGTAATATTTACTCTATTCAAATTGTGCCTTACCTTAGAGGAGTGATGCCTGAAAAATTTATCAACCTTTTATGTTATTACCATGCCCACTCTTTGAAGGGGTGTTCTGTTCTTGAACCATCCAAAGTTTTGTCTTGCTGCTGAGTGGCCCAATTAAGCAGCACTACTGAGATCGCGTCAATCCAAGAATCTATCAATTCAGTAATAATAAGGCCACCTATGCTTAGTTGTTTTTGTTTACAGCTCAATCAGAAAGAACCAAAGCACTATGCCCTGGCAGAGTTGGATTTTTGGCTGCGATGACTATGTACGCTTCAACAAAATGTATAGTAGATTACAGCCATGGAACCAGATCATAATACAATGAATTCAAAACTGAACAATGCAAGCTAAAAGGGGATAGAAATGGCCGGAATGAACCCATAAAATTCAATGTGTACCTCATGCATGGACTCTCGCAAAGTCAAGCTAGTAGTAGCAGGTAGCAGCTCGTACCTAACAGCTCAGGGAAGAGCAGGCGCAACGCAAGAGGGGAAGGATGTCGGCGTCACGAGTCGGGCAGGAGCTGGGCTTTATCCTCCCGCTGCGCCTCGTCCTGCAGCTGCTGCGCCTCCTTGGCCTTGGCGAGCATATGCGCCTCGTACCTCCGCAGCCTCTCCTCCATCCTCGCCTGCAAGCAAGATAAATGCTGAGTGAGCACACCGGAAAACCGGCGACAGCGCTAGACATAGGGTGAGAGGAGTAGGGCAGGGCGGGGCAGGGGATCGGGGATCGGGCGTGCCTTGTAGGAGGTCTCGACGCGGTGCATGACGTAGAACCCGAGCACGCCACCGAGGATGGTGCCGGCCATCACGCGCACGTTAGCCCACCGCCGCGACCCCGGCGGCGCCATCGCTCACCAATCACCACCAACCTGACACCGCGCCGCCTTCAGCAGCCGCCGCCGCCACCACCGCCGGGAGTAGGAAGGTGCGAGAGGAAGAGGAGCGGAGGGAGATCGGCAGACGCGTCGGGCCGAGAAGAGGACAGGGTGGGCCGAGCCGACAACTGTACTGGCGTCTGGAGACGGCCCGCGATCCGCTTTTGCACCAAATCGATCTCGAGCCAGTGGCTATTAGCGAGCCCATGAAGAGGAAAGAGGATCCCGTTGGCCGTTGCATTTGCATGGCGCATGCGGTTTTTTTTTTTTTTGGAAGGCTTGCTGTGTTGATGACTATTCTGTGCACTAGCCCAATAGCCAAATCGACGACGATGTGAATTAGAGTGACGCTGTCATAGAATTTTTTATATATATATTTGCAGTATTGTTAAAGTTCTTTTTTGCAAAGGTAATTGTCAAAGACTTTTACTATTTATCTGTTGATGATTTTTTTTACTAAACCTGTCATATTTTTATATGTTTGATTATACTTTAAGATCTGTGCTAAAACTGTCTACTGGGTCGTATAAACAATTTAACAGATTTGACCACATAAAATATATCGACAAATAATCAGACACTTTCTTGTCAAATGTCAAATAACTTTTTCACTCACATCACCAATTGAAGGAAAATCGTGGGATTTAAGGTTAGATATAAGCGTGTGTTTGATTCGAGAACCAGATGGGATCAGACTGTACTCTGTTTACTGACTTCAACTATATGAACTTTCGCTAAGTTTTCTAAAACGTTCTAGAGTCAAACCTAACCTACAGGGAAAAACCGCGAGAGCTTTGGAAGGTTGGCCTTGAGTGCTCTCGTTATCACCGGATGCCAAATGATTAGCATCAACCCTTAACAGTCGATCAGCACAGCCATGCAAGAAGCAGCATTCTTATCCTGTTCAGATGGATACCGTCGTCTTCATCAATCATTCTTTCTGCCGAGCGATCCAAAGAAGAATGTTCAGGTGCCATTGTGCAGGGTCTACTGGATGCTTCGATCAGTTCCATCTCATGTTCTCTGGGCTCTGCCGCTCTGGCCGTCTGAATGTCTGAACCGAAACATATGTTCGGCTGATAGTTTCTGCAACTGATAAGCCGACTAATGTTATTTTGTTATAAGAGAAAAACATTATACCATATATGATAAGTTCAAACGAACATGGCAGAATGTGTGTGTTGTTTTAAATCCTTGGAGTGACGTGCCGATGCAATGATGATAATCATTATTAAGAGAAAAAAGACCTAGTGCGAGCAGTTGACTGACAATAATGGTCTTCGCACACCAAAATGTTAGCCTGATCTCCATCAATTTGGTCCAACGGCTAATTGGACCCTTGACTCGCGTCCTGATCGGGGGCGCCTAGCCGCTTTCCTGGCTGGTGGGCCCTCGTCGCGCAGCGCTATGTAAAGGAGGTGGGGGCTGGGGCTCGAGACAAGAGGTTCACCGTCGCCGCCAGCCCCTTACCGAGTTTTCTAGCCCTAGTCCGATCTATAGGGCGTGCTGTGAGCGACGGGAAGCTCCACCGCCTTCACCGCCGTCACTAGACCGGGCCCGCTCTGCTGCTACTTCGTTGCCGGCGCCATGGCCGCGACTGGAGACTCGAGATGAGGTATATCATCATCAAGTTCTATATCTAAGTCAAGTTTACCCACTGATCTGCACTTAGAGGTCCTACAAATCCTAACATTGGTATCGAAGCCAAGGTTTTCTTCTAGTGTTGAGATCTAGTTTGGGGTAGATTTAGAATGAGAAAGGAAAGGAAGGTGATTCTCCTACCAGGGAACCGCACACACCGTTACCACCGCCGGCCGTCGCCTCGACGCCGCGCGGGAAGCCACCCCGAGCCGCCGCGGGCGTGAGGAGCAACCCTAACCCTAACCCTAGAAGGGTGGACGGAGAAGGGAGGGACCTACCCGGTTTCTCGCCACCGTCACCACCGCCGTCGCGCGGTAAGAGACCCCCGATGCTGGGTCGTCGGCGCATGGGCTCAGGGCGCCGACACGAGGCCACTCGACGGCGAGCGTGCTCACGCACTAGGGAGCGCGCGCTCAGAGAAGGGCCCGTGGCGGCGCCGCACTCCTCCTCCGACTACCTTGTGCGGCCGCTTCGGACGCCGCCGGTGAGAGAGAAGAGAAGGGGAGAGAAAGAACTGAATGGAAAGATCTAGGGTTTAGGGTGAGCCCACCGCAGCGCGTGTTGGGTATTAGAGCATCGTCGCCAGACACCGCTCGACAATGACACACTACTGCCTAGAAGCGGCCTTGCAAGAAGAAGAGGGGACGGACGGTGGCTCTGCACGCTTCTCTTTCTCTTCCGTGCATGCCGCTTGCAAAGAGAGAGAAGAGGGCGGATGGTGAGTTTTTATTTCGCCCGAGATCGTCGCCCGACCGTTGATCAGGGATGGATGGCTCAGATCATTTGGACTGAAATCAGCCCATGCGGGCGAGTGAATTCCTTGCCCTGTGCCCAGAGTTGCGGCGGGCGGCGGAAGAAAGCAGGTCTTGTGGCGGCCGTCCTCAGCCACTTGTTGGGCCTGTATTTGGTGTAAATAAGTGGGCAGCTGATCTTCTACTATTCTGGACCGGACAGCGCCTTTGTTTCGTCGGTAGGGCTGAATGAATAGTAAACACAGAGCTCTTGTTCTTTTATTTTCAGAAGCAAATTTTTGATGTTTTTTATCTAGTTTAAATCTCCGTCAAAATTTGAACCAACCGGATAATTTTTTCAGAGAGTAGATGAGTACAGTAAAATGCTTCTAAAAAGTAAATAAATTATTTTTTCAAGTTTTCGCTGCAAAGTTTAATGTTGATTATCTTCCAATTAAATTCGAACCAATGGGAGAATTTAATTTCAAGAGCAGTTATATTTTGTAAATTATGATTATGTTCATCCTATAATTAAATTGGAACCAATGAGAAAATTTAAATTAGAAGAGTAGTCCGATTTGCTTATGTTAAATTATGGTATTGTTATTTTCTGACCAACGTTGATGATAACAATATTATAATAAGTTTAAGTTTGAAATTTAAATCTCTGATAAATTTTACACCAACGTGGTCAATTTTTCAGAGAGTAGATAAGAGCCAAAGAAATGCTCCTGAACTAATAGAATATATCTCATGTTTCCGCTGCAATGATGTTGATTATCTTCTAACTAAGAATTTAATTTTGAAGAGTAGTTATATGTCTTTAAGTTAATTTATGAGTTTTATGCATTAATTCTATTTTCTGCACAACGGTGATGTAGAATTCATGAGAAGCACCTCGTATGTTTTAACCGTCAAGATGACTCGGCTGCAAGTCAATAGGGTTGCAATGCTGAGGTATGTGAATGAATAGGCTTGAGTAAAGCCGGTTCAGGACTATTTTTCTTAGTTTATTAATTTTCTGATTAAATTAGAACCAACGGGAAGATTTAATTGGAAAATGAAGAATAAGTGAATGTTTTAGTCGTCATAACTAAGTTTTTGTTATAGTAAACTGTGTATAGATTTATCCCGTATGGGAGAAGTTTGGCATAGTATTTATGCTAGTCAATCATGCATGGCGGGAGAGGTTTTGTAATGAATCATATGTTTTTGTATCCCGCATAGCGAGAGAAGTTTGGGTAGTTCTTATGCTATCATAATATTGATCATGGCGCAAATAGAAATGCATCGTCATGATCAATACTAAACAAAAGACATGGAAAAGATGCAAGCGTGACTTGCAAAAGTACAGTTAATAAAAAAACTCGTTGAGTTCTTGAAGTGGGATGAGGAAAGTGTGCTCCTATATGGATCAAGAAATAACTTTGTTTGCATGACATAATCATGTGAATGAAATAAGTCATCAGTGTCTCGTTCACAGGTTTTCTAAATAGTTTTTGAAATTATGGCAGTAAAGTTCATGCCATATTTCAAGGGAGAGAACTGTGAGATCAAGTAAGAGTAAGAGCAAAGATCAATTAAGAAAGATGAGATAAAGATTTTGATGAATGTGATCATCGATCATAACAATGATACCCCTAAGCAGAGAAATAGCTAAATTTCTGAACTTTTTAAAGTTCCGATAGAAAGATAGCGTAGTCAGCCTCAAGGATATTAAGGTGGTGATTAAAGTGTCATATAAGATTTTAACAGATTAAACCCAAATAAGAAATTTGAAGATACACTATCTTTATAGAAGATAGAATGATCTGGGGGAGCATGGTATGTAGCGACCTATGACTTGAAGAGAAGCGGGACTGCGTGCGCACTCCAGTGATTCAAGAGCAACAAATTTCTCAATACCTATTTGTCGGTGTTTTGGAACCGGGGGTCCTTAACCGACTAGTGAATTTATGCTGCGTGCTCCCAATTTCGGATGGTGATGCAAAGAGACACAAGGTTTATACTGGTTCGGGCAATGGATGCCCTACGTCCAGTCTGAGAAGATGTTCTTGTATTCCTTGCACCGGGGTGCTCGTAGTAGGGGGTTACAAGCTAGGCGAGAGAGGGAGTTCGTCCCAGGTCTCTGTGAGGGGAGGTGATATGAATTACAGAATGAGGCGTATTGTTCGTGCGAGTATCCGTGACTCTATCCGCCGTCGCTAGAAACGGTCCTGGCCGCCTCCTTTTATAGCCGCAGGGAGGAAACCAGGAGTACATAAGAGAGCTACACGTGGAGCGGACTATTTGATGACGTATTTACCGGAGCAAGCATGGCGTTGTCGTGGGAGTTCCCGTAGATGTCTAATCGGTCTGTCTCCCACTGCAAGTAACATGTGCGCATTTGTTGGCTTAGTGGATTTGCGAGAAGCTCGGTGACCATCATAGCCGGTCGTGTCGAGGCTGGCAGCCGAGGGCTGCCGTCTTGAGCACGAGAAGTGACCAGTGCGATGCGGGGCGGCCATCGAAGCGAACGAAGGCGAGACGTGCGCCTATAGGATATGGTACTGTGTTGTCGATAGGGATGGTAAAAAGGTGATCGACCGTTGTCCCGTCGCT